ATTTGTACAAGATGCCATTTTAATTCTGTTCATGCTTTATAGTGCAGGGAAAAGGGGTACTCAGACTTGGGAATACTAATACTGGTGATTTTATTCCAAGCTCAGAGTCATTGGGCACCCCTTAAGAGTTGAGTTCAAACTGATTTTATCCCCCCTGACTTATGGCCCCCAAATAGCCCTGATCTCAATGTTATGGATTATTTTGTGTGGGGTGAACTAGAAAAACATGTTCATAGTGTTCCCATCCATTCAGTTCAAGAACTCCAACAAAGAATAACTTTATGTTGGGAACAATTATCACAACAATCAATTAACGCGGCAATAAATAAATGGCGTCATAGACTAAAACTGGTTGTGCAGGAACAAGGAGGACATATTGAACATTTACTTTAAAAACAAAACAGCCAAAGACACACCTAATGTTATATATCAACCTTGTTTAGAAATGTCTCAGTTATCTACATATCAATTTTTTAAGGGATTGCATCAAAAATAAAAAAATGAGATTAAAATGAAAAAGGGTGAACTTTTTTTTGGCCCACCCTGTACATCTTGTTCATGGTTTTTTTTTATAACATTTTCACATTTTTTTCTTTCATCATATTTGAACACCTCTGTATATCTGAACACTCTTTTTGATCCATTTTTCCTCCCATTGACTCCCATGTCAAAAAAAGTGAACACCTGGTATCCAACTAATTTTGGTCAATTCCAGATTATTTAGATTAGAAATGTTTTACTGGTCTGTTATTTTCTAAAATAGTACCTTTTTATCAAGTGCAACAATGTTGCCCTTTGTGCCTTCAACAAATCAAGGTGATGATGATATATTTGGAAATATTTCTCTAAGCTACAGATTGCCTGCTACCCTTTGTTAGAACTAGACTTCACCCACCCTTTTTAAATTAAAAATAATTATTTGATTATATTCAATCAGAATATGGAGTCCAAAAATCACAAAACCACATTTGGAAATAATGAGATAGGCATCAAATATGTAAAAACATCTGTATTACTTGTAGCAGAGGTACATTTCTGCCTTTTAGTAGCTAACATTGATTCCACATTCAAACTACCATCAAACACCACAAAAGTTACATATGTAAATGTTATGGTCGATATGAAATGTAAAGTCATCCGTAGTACTCAGAGGAAAATATGAAAACCTGATTTTGAACAGGGTAGTTGTTTGCTGTCTGAAGCAGGTAATATCAAACACCTGAATGACTAAATGTAAGGTGAGAAGCATTAAAACAGATAAATAAAACCAGATGTTATTACTGGTTGTAACATTTAAGTAAATAAAACATATCTGTGAGGTATTGGACACCCAGGATAGATAAATAATTTAAAGTTATAAAGGGCATTGTACAGGGTGGGCCAAAAAACGCCAAAGACACTACAACTTTTTTATTTTCCAACCTACATACCCCAAATTTTGCAGTTATATAGTGCCAAGGGTTCTTAGTAATAATATAATGTAACAAGTCCTTCAACTTGGATTAAATTTGATCTAAAAGGAGAGTTCAATTGGCCCATCACACTAATTGATGATATATTTTAGTTTTAGTCGCCTTGCTGATATTGCAGTATCAATGAAATGTAAGCTAAGTTTTTTTCAACCTGTCTTAATTGCCAGCTTTAGTTGAGCAATTTTCTAGATTGGGTCCCTTCATACAATCTCCTGGAGACCTTCCCATACCCTATACTCACTGGAGTTTGCATCAGGGCTATTAGCTTTGTGATCATCAGGCCGTATCAGTTCAGGAACATTTTGCAAATTATGCTTATTTCTCATGGCATACCACATGTTTAAGTGAGACGCTGGTGACATATTCTATTCAAGTAAAAGTGTATAATTTATGATCCATGGCTAGATAACAACCTCAAGTTTCATTTGGTATGCAAATTTTGATTTAATATCAAAAATTAAAAAAGTTATAGCATTTTGAAAAAAGTGGCGTTTTTTTGGCCCACCCTGTACATTGATTCAGATTAATAACTTAAAATGCCAGCAAAGAACAGAGAGTGTAAATTTTTGAAGAAGTCTCTGTAAAGGATGCCAAGGATGCCAATTTTGAAAAACCTCCAATTATTTTAATGTTCTCTTTTTGTTCATAGCTCTCTTCAAATGGTTTCCAATTCTGTTAAGTATTTATTCCCAAGATGCCCATTATTGACATTATTGCCTTACACTTACAAACTGAAAGGGCAAACTTGAGCAATCTGATAATGGATATATAATTTCCTTTTTGCTTAGGAGACTTGAAGAATTTCTTTCCACATTTTCTCTTCAAATAAGAAATGGTTTAATTATTAAAAGAAAGGACGATTCTCGGTTTGGAGAACGAAGTTCATCAATCTAAATGAGCATTATCCCTGCTTCGGACAAATTTGATTTTTTTACATAATAAAGATTTGAATGTCTTCTTTTGAATAGTCATAATTTAATTTGGGTAATATTTCTAGATTTTTCGCAAAAAAATATTAGCGCAGTACACTGATGAACTTCTTTCCCCAAATCGAGACTTGTATTTATATTGAATCGGTCTTTTTGAGCATTATCCCTGCTTCAGACCAATTTGTTATCTTTACATCTTGTAGATTTAAATGTCCTCTTTTGAATATTCATAGTTTAATTTGGGTAATATTTCTATATTTTTCATGAAAAAAAATATTAGCCCAGGAGACTGTTCTCCAAACCGAGAATCGTCCTTTACTCATGGACAAAATCGGTGAATATCTACAGTATTGCTTGCCAATTCCTCTCTTTCTGTTGTATTTTGCATTTAAGAGTAAAATAGTATGGTCATGTTGGAATTTTATGAATGGGAGAAAATCTGCAAGACAATATCAGTTCCTAATAGGGATTTTATTGATGTATATTCTTGTAACTGACCATCAATATTCCTCGTATTCAAGTTTATGGCAGTTGTACAAGTACAGTTAAAGATGTTTATGTGAACATCTCTTTAATGTGAACATTTCTTAAAACAATCACATTTTAGTCTCCTTTTCAGCCACATTGTTGAATAAACTCAAATGTCTTGGGTTAAAAACATCTATAAGTTAAGATTATGATATTCAGGGGTGGATCTTGAAACTAAGAAATGGGAGGGGGCGAAATTTAAAGTCTGGGCCCAAATTCTTCTCTAGGCCCATTTTACAGGGGCCTGCCCCCTCTCCCACCTAATCTGCCAGTAATATTGGGATAAATCACTTGATACATTTGTACCTTACTAAGTCATGATAAAAATTAACAAAAAAAATCTTATTATGAGTAGATTTACTGGTCTAGAGCAACATTGTAAGAATGCCTGTAAACAGTAATATAGATCTACTGGTCTAGGTTGAAATTGTCAGATTGCCAGTAATAGAGATCCACTTGTAATAGTAACATAGATTTACTGGTCTAGAGTGACATTGTCGGATTGCCTGTAAACGGTAATATAGATCTACTGGTCTATGTTGACATTGTCAGATTGCCAGTAATAGAGATCTACTTGTAATAGTAACATAGATTTACTGGTATATAGAGTGACATTGTCTACTGGTCTAGGTTGACTTTGTCAGATTGCCTCTAAATAATAATATAGATTTACTGGTCTATATTGACAGATGTCAGATTGCCTGTAAGCAGTAATATAGATTTACTGGTCTAGATTGACATGTCAGATTGCCTGACAGTAATATAGATCTATATTGACATGTCAGATTGCTCTGTATGTCAGTAATATAGATCTACTGGTCAAGGGTGACATTGCTAGATTCCATGTAAACAGTAATATCGATCTACTGGTCTAGATTGACATGTCAGATTTCTTGTAAACAGTAATATAGATCTACTGGTCTAGATTGTTATGTCAGATTGCCTGTCAACAGTAATATAGATCTACTGGTCTAGGTTGACTTTGTGAGATTGCCTGTCAGTAATATACATCTACTGGTCTAGATTGACATGTCAGATTGCCTGACAGTAATATAGATCTACTGGTCTAGGTTGACTTTGTCAGATTGCCTGTCAGTAATATTTGATCTACTGGTCTAGATTGACATGTCAGATTGCCTGTAAACATTAATATAGATCTACTGGTCTAGGTTGAGATGTCAGATTGCCTGTAAACATTAATATAGATCTACTGGTCGAGGTTGACATGTCAGATTGCCTGTAAATATTGATGTAGATCTATAGAAGATCGTGAGGTTGCTGATATCGGGATAATTAATTGTTAACGTACTGTGAAAAAAGAGGAAATTAATTTCTATATTATGACACAACTCTGAAATAAAACTAGCATGTATTATATGAGATGTCTGGATGGTTGGCTCCAATATTCACAATGTACATTGGCTTATTACATATGTATTGTCTCCATTGCAGAGTTTGGCTGTCTTGTCAGATAGAGATGGATAGAAGAAACAATTAAGATATTGGAGAATGTAAAAGATTCTGATCTAATATTCTGTATATGTAATACTATAGATTTGTGTGGCGACTACAAGCTATCAATGTCACAAATTTTGTTTATTGATTTTTGAGGATAGAATAAATTGTTCGCATGTGACCCATGGGATTTTATAGATTAGAGGAACTCTCTTCTGGATGCATTCGTTTAATCTAATTGATGGAATGAGAGAGAGAGATGTTCAACAATATTGGAGATCGTTGAACAAATTGAGTATAAAACGCACTTTTAGCATTGTACAACACACATTCAACATTGTACAACATTGTTGGATGAGTATATAAATGTACAACACATTATTGATGAACATATTATGATTGGAAAATGGATTAAGATAACTCTACAATCTGGAAAATGCCAAATCAGAATCTGAGAGATAGTAATATATAACAGGATTACCTCCAACCACTATATACTACTTATGGCCATGTTTAGACATTAGAGGATGCATCGTAGTAGGATATAACAAGATAATCAAACCCTGTGATTAGATAAAAACAGAAGCATGAAGATTATTGATGACTGATACCTCCTTATCCTGGTGTTGGTCGAGATTCATAAATTGATGATCTCGTTTACAGAATTTGGTTGCATCTGGGATTGACAGGAATATATGCAATCTCATTCTGTGATACTATTTCTTGTTTGAATTATTGCAAACACTCAAATATTGGAAAATGGAGCTAGAAATCAAAGCCAATGTGCTGTTGTGCAAAGCCTGGATATTTTTTATAATATTAGGTAACTATATTTATTTTTATTCTGCTTAAATGTGTTCCACTTAGAGGTGTTCCACCTTTAGAGTTTCATTTAACATTAAGTAAATTTGCCTTGAGCCCCTGAAAAGTGTTCCACTTCTAGAGATGTTCCACTTTACAGAATAAAATATAAGTCTAATAAGTATATAAGGCTTCACTTTTCCAAACTCTATACATCATCCCAGTTAATTGGAAATATATAATTGCAAAAATGGGAAAAACAAAATGCAAAAAACTTAAACTTGTAGTAAATTATTTGAGCATTTTTGAGTTTTAAATAAACTTTTAGATATCTACATACTATAAATATACTGTAGTTAAATGAATAATTTGAAAATAGACCTTGTGATACTTATACCAAATTACAATCATAAATCACAAAAAGTGACATAACATGATCTTAAGAGAATAAATAATGTATAAATCGATCATTCTTTTCAAACCTTATTCCTACATTGTAACTTATTCTATTGGTGATGAACAAATATGTAGATTCCCACTTTGTGAAAATCTGTCAGCAGACATATCGATCTGTTATTCTGTGCCTGGAATTGACAGCTCTATTCTGTTAATTAATGAATTATTAATGACTTACAAATCTAAACATTCTGGGAACTTAGAATGACCTGGGAATCTATTGAATTTCAAGCATCATGGTGAAATCAGCCTAAGTGAAGGTTGCATGTATGTAATAATCCCTACACTTTGATTCGAAGTGCTTTAAATTTTGATTTGCTGAGTCAGCAGAAAAATGTTCAAATGAATAATGTCACATGGTTTCATGCTGAAGAGAAGGCTCTTTCTTCTGTCCGTCTCATACAAGCAAAAAGAGGCATGCAGAAGCTCAATTTATATATAAGGTTGTCTGACCTGATTATCCTGCAGTTAATTCAAACATGAAAAATAACTACAAAACTCGTGTTCTCAATGACAAAAACAGGCATATGCATTCAGTTACTTGCAAAATGTTTTACATATTTTACATTGATATTTTAACACAACACAATTTGGAATAAAACAGAAAAAGCATAAATAGTTCTGCTTCTTGCAATTTTATTCACTTTTGAATTTCTATAAGCTTGCATAAAAATTGGTTTAGAATTGTACATTAACATCAGAGTTTAGCCTCCTTCAAAAGCAATCCCAACCATACAACTATTTGAGATTCCTCTTGGGATATTGGTTGCCCTGGTTGTTCAACACATAAGATGTGAGATCTATTGATGATACCACACATCAACATTCAAACAGCAGGGGCTATAGAGCAATGTGTCTTATGGCGAGTAACATTAAGTCAAACTCTAATAAGTCCCTGAAAAACATTAGAAATTTGGGTCATTTAGGTGATAGCAATTTGAAAAAATTAATTGACCTAGTTTTGACAAGCTTCATTTGGTATTGCTCGCTGATATACCTGTGTCTAGGATAGCATAGTTTGAAAAGGCTTCAAGAAATTAGATTTCCGTAACTCAAAAGTAGGTCAGTGTCCTAGTTTTTGACCTAGCTGCTTATTTTCTCTTCCTAATGGATATACCCATCATTGAAATGATTTAACTCCTACAAAGTGCAAAAAGTGCAATGACCCACATAAGAATAATAATAAAAAGAATGTGACAGCAGCCCATGTAAGCAATAACTATCCCATTCACTGACCATGAAAAATGCCAAAATATTCCTGGAAATTGTTTCTTAATACATTTGTAGTTTAGGTCTTGCAATAGGAACATGTCATAATGTCATCCATTAATATCCCTAATGTATTACATTAACAAAGTTCCCCCTCTGATTCTCCATGTAATACTTGTATTGTTGATGTATAGCCCCAGGGGTTTTACCATTGATCTTCAATATATCAAGACTCTAAGACAATTTTCACTTGGCAATAATTCAAATTAAACTGCCTCTATGAAATTATTTCATGTACTAATGAATAGTACACTGGTTTCATCATTCTAGGATACTAAACCATTGAGTGTCAGTCTCCGCTGTATGTCACCACCAGAAGTTGTGACATATTGTTTTGCTTCAATTTTTTGTGGATGGTATTCGGGGGTTGGTGTTACAGATTTGTAACAAATGGCAGGTGGTGACAGTTTGCATGTTAATGCCTTGTTTATTCTTTTCTCCCATGAGGGGAGATAATTTGGAATATAAAGGGAGGAGTTACCTTAGAGAAATAAAATGAAGAGGAACTTGGGTGAAGTATACATACAGTTCTAATGATTCTACAGTTTTAAGGCCAATGAGCGTTCAGTGATCTCAAATGTAACTTTTGTGGAGTTTTATGAGAGTTTAAGTGTTAAATGCATGCCAGCTACTGGCTGGCAGAAAATGCAATTTCGATTGAATTATCATTATCATAATGATGATAATAGATCAAGATTTTTTCTTATTCAAAGAGTAAAACTTTAATGAACGGTACTATTAGGTGGAAATTAAGTCTCTTGCATCAGGCTATAAGCTCATTATATAATATTTGAACCAATGAACCCTGAATTTCAATCAAACCCATCCCAGACACTTATCTGTGCTAGTATCAAATCTTTATCAAATACATTTCACTATACCATTGCAGCAGCCATTGATAAAGCCTGTTCAACTGAAGCTGAAGAAAATGCAGTGAAAAAGGCTGTTGTGATTGACCTACCAAGGGTGACAAAATGCTACCAATGCTATAAGAGCACACATGGAGAATCATGCCTCACAATGTACAACACATCATCACTTGGAACTGTGCAATGTAAAAACGAGGAACACTACTGTCAAGTAAGGACTGGGATTGTTTCATTTTCTACTCTCAAATTGCAAGATTCGTTAAAAGAAGTTCGGTCAGAGAGGATTTGGGATTATATCAGCACCACACATTATGGAGGTGTGATTCTTTCAGAGGCTTAAAATGAACATCAGAAAACATTTTTCTATATTTATGTTCAATATACTTCAATTTAAGTGTCACATTTAGTTAATTATTTACAGACATGAAATCTTTATCTGTATTGATGTCATTTATTAAACGCCAATTTATGTCACAACGACTTAATGGCTAACCATATACAAATGCGTATGAGTTGTTACGTTCACTAAGCGATTGAACACCCACAATGTATAGATTCCAGTCCGAATAATTACGGTCTACTGAAAAGGACTCCTTGTAATAATAATCAGCTTCTATTTCATTCCAGGTAAGTAGACTATACACAGGTGGCAACCTGACAACATTTGAGAGAGGATGTGGCGTTAATTGTAAACCAGGATGTAAGGAAGTAATGGGGCTAGAACGCTGTTTCACATGTTGTAATTCAACATCATTGTGCAACCGGGACTACTTTCCTGTCTCCGGGGCTAACCAAACAACACGGACTCTGATATTTATCACCGCAGTAACTGGATTATCTCCTCTACTGACATTAATTCTCAGGAATATCCCGAGAAACTGAATGTGAATATTTTATTGACAGTTATATAGCTCATTAAAAAAAATAAACATGGATGAAATATAAAATTTTGTTGATTTTTTAAGCATATTTATTCTTTAAATAATGACTAAAGATACCATTTAACAATTTAATATAAAACTAAAACTGTATGTTGCAGCTGAAGAATTCTTGCAAATATTAACTTTTCCTATCATAACAAGATGCTGTGGACATGCACTTAGCACCATCTATCCTAACTATCTCCTTAGCAATGAATTTCTAATATTATAGGAATAAGATACATGATGCTAACTTTGTATGCTTACCAACAACGTAACATCAGCAACATATTGTTCAAAACAAAAATAAATAAAAATAGTCTAAAATTCTAAAACAACATAATTTATGAAACAAAAATGTTAATTAAAGAAACAATGGCTAATTTTTGGTTAATGATTAATATATTGAAATTGAACTATCATATTAATTATTGACACTGTAGTACTTTAATAGTAATGTTGCTCTAAGACTAACATGGACAACACACAGTTTCTGTAAATACAGGGTGTCTCAAAAAAGGAAACCATAATTTAATTGCTTATTTCTCAAATATGAATAATAATAGGAAAAGATACCAAAGTTGTCTATTTTCCTTCATGGATGACTGAGTTCTAAGGGATTTAAGTGACCATGTCAGAAATAGGGTTGTGCCACTTTTTCTTTCATGAATGACTGAACAATGAGGGATAATTCAGGATGACTGAACAATGAGGGATATTTCAGGATGGTTATTCAGGGTAATCAAAAGATAAAGTCTACTCAACATCACCAAAAGACATTGATGGTCTTATGCATCTTTGAGAAATTATCAATTTAATCTCGGTTTCCTTTTTTGAGACACCCTGTATAACACATAAAACAGAGCTATATGAATAAAGGTAGGCAGAGTTGCAAAATGTACATTTTATAATGTCATAAAAAATCAAGTCAAAAATGTCATACTTTGCCCACCTTAACAGAAATCTCTGTGATGAGCAAGAATGCAACACACTTCTGTATATTTTCATTTGACAAGTACAGTGTATGCTGTATGCATTATCAATAAGTAGTACCTATTCACTTAATTTCCACTTTAAATTGGGTGAAATTGCCCACTTTTTTCCCGTTTGATACATTTTGAATACAATTCAGTTCAACAAACTATATTAAGCTCATAATGTTCAATTAATGGCCATAGCCTAATGCTGTAATGTGTCAATGCATTTACATGTTGTAAGTATATCTATATGAGTACACCATTTCAGAGCTTCTAGTTCTATAATTATTATAACAACAATACATCTCTGATCCTAATACTGTACATGAATCTACAAAAATATCTATGAGAACTATGAGTTGGTTCTTCAAACATGGATTTTATCTATAAAATGGGACTTTTCAGTATAATGGTGTACATATTAAAGTATAGTCCTTCTAAAATGTACAATGTACAATTACAATGTATAATTCTAATCCTGAACTGTAACTTGGGATTTATTGTATCATCTATACAATAGGACTTCTGCTGACATCTATGTAATGCAGCTATGAGACAATGATAATAAAAAGATGTTACAATAAATTATGATCCATTCAATCTTAAATTATAAGTACAATGATATTTTAAAACGTTGAAATGATTGTACATTGAATTTACAATAAATTATGATTCAATCAATCCTGAGATGTCCTTGTATAGCAGTTCATGTACACAATGATAAGTAGGATAAAGTTTTACTTTCTCTCCTTGACTACTATTCATGGATTAAGGCAGGAATCTTTGAAAAATCAGAGAATCAAGTGTCAGTAAAACATTCAGCCGATTTGTCTCAGTATCTGTCCTTTATCTCATATTTCAGCTGGAAAACTCAAATAAAAATAATTTTTAAAACAACAGTCTTCCCTTTATTGTGCACATTTGGCCCTTACCCTATGATAAACACTTCCAATAAATGTCAATGTTTGACAGCAAAATAATCTTTGACTAAAATCTAAGATGCTTCAGTTACATGAAACTGACATCTGATCCATTCTCTCTTATGACTTATAAGCGAAAAATGTCACGAAATTAATAAAGTCACAAGAGATCATAGATTTATTCAATATGTCAGTTTTCATCTTACTGCATCTTTTCTTAAACCTCTACGTTGTTACTAGTCTTACGTGCTAACATCATGCACAATTGAGCTTAAAATATCCCATTCACCTCCTTAATATGCAGTAAGTTGGTACTGTACTTCACTTAAATTGGTGCTATTTATTTTGGCAGATTTGCTGTTTTGAACATTTTGCAGCTACTTAATTTGGTGGATTTGCAATATTACAACAATGAACAAATGGTACTGATTTATATGTAACAAAAATAACTTGGGAATTTGGCGGCTACCTAATTTTGTGGACTTAAACAATTTGCTGGATCCACCAAATTATATAACAGTCGCAAAATTAAGTAAAAGTACAGTAACTATTCTTCATTTGCCTAATTGTTAGCACATAATGCAGACTTGCCACAAGTTTCAACAGCTTAAACTATGAGCATGATTCATTTTTTCATATTGAATTCAAATTGGAAATACAAAATATTAATCTCTGGCTAGTCTACATACTGTGCAATTATAATACTAATTCCAATACTCTAGCCTAGGCCTAATGGATACAAATCTTTGTGGATTGAAAAACAATCAATGGTTTCATCCTATAGTTACTTTTCTATAATTACTTTTCTATAGTTACTTTTCTATAGTTACTTTTTCAAAAAGGTCTACAGTAAAGATAGGTTCTTGGGTGAATCTGATTGATATTATGCAATCACTAATGAATAAAATGAAAACTAAAAATCTCAGTTTAAATTCTAATCTAAAAATATACATATTCAAATTGAGCTTTTCTTAAGGCACTTCACGTAAATCTCACTCACCATGACAAATACAATAGAAATGCATAGAATATGAATTTGGAACTCACAAATTGAGTTTTAATATTTTATGACACAAACCTCTATGGCAGTTCGAACTAATGTAACAGTTAAGACCTCAATGGATTTGCATAGAGCCCAATGGGGTTACAATTACAACCAATAGAAGGCTTCTCTGTATTTAATACAGCTCACTCTTAATGTACCTGCGATAATATTCCCAGAGTGATTTACATCTCAATATGAGATACTTGGCAAGTAGACCTTACAACAGACAAGGGCTGTCCAATGTCCATATTATGTCAAACAACAATTTGGTTTTTTGTTAGTTTAGATGTGCTTCACATTTGTAGAACCTTTGCTTATAGCACCATAAGCCATTTAGAGTGTATTGTTTATCCACTGTATTTAAACTAGCGACATATGCTTTCTGTGAACACATCTGCAGCGAACACCTCTCTACAGTGAACACACACACCAATGAACACTAGTTAACACCTTTCTGTGTCATATATCATTTAAATGCCACTGACTCATTTCAGAACCTTCTTAATGTAATAAGGTTTTGACACTGTTCAATTCCTGCTTCTGTTCAACATCTAATCATTCCTACATCCTTTATTCTGTCGTATCCTTCACTCCCTTTCTTAGTCATCAACCTGATATCCTTGGGTATGAGCATAATTTGCATCATAGTACTTATTGTGTATATCCTGTGACATTTAAGTCAAGTCCTCATGTCGGATAAACCTGAGTGAAAAGAGGGTGCTGCAGTAAGTCTTTTGCCTGTGGTCGTTCATCACGTTTCTGTTCAAGACATCGTAGAAGGACATCCTTCACAGGTGGTGATATGTTTTCTGGGACAGGTGGAAATGATGTTGATGACGCAATCTGAAACATGGGTTTTTGGAAAATTTGTATTTGAAATATCATTGCTCTCACATGCATTTTCTACACAATTTAACAACACATAGATGTCACTGAAATAGCTTTGTATAATCTATCCCATGAAACACTGGCATTGTCAATGTACTCAATGAACATTGCTGATGTGAATTGAAATATACTTCATAAATAAATAATATGTTGGTAGTGTTACACATACAAGACATATGGACGATTGGCTAATGTATTATACCTTGAAAATAAGAGCAAGATGATTGGACAGGTCTGAAGCCCCCCAGGGTGGCTTGGTGGTGACCATCTCTATAATACAGCACCCTACACCCCAGATATCACAGCTACGACCATAGCTCTCTCCTCTCAATACCTGAAAAATTAATGAAAATCATTCAAAAAAAGTCATCAAATGTTCATGCTTGCAAAATATTTTGCCTTGGATAACTCTATGAAGATACAATTTTTTATAATAAAGCTAAATAATATTCTGATATGTGCGTGAATTCATGATTTGTTATTCTACAAATTATCATTTTATTTTGTTTGCTCCCTTATACGATATCTTCAATCCACTGCATGTATGCATGAGACTCTTCAATTAAAATACAATACAATAAAACACAATACAGACATGTTCATTATTTGCATGATTCGTACCTCAGGGGCCATAAATGCAATGGTTCCCAGGAGCTGGCCCTGGAATTCCCCTGCCCCTGTAGACTGAGAGGCCAGTCTGGCTGCAGCTCCAAAGTCTGCAATTCTTAAATTCTGTCCAGTACTGTCCACCAAAAGATTAGCACCTAAAATACAATTATTAAGTTATGAAACTTCCAAAGGCCAATTTTGCATAATCAATCATCTACAACTAATGGTTTGTATATGTTTGAGATATACATCCCATCTTACATGCCTTATGTGTAGAATATTTTGTTTCTTGTGACCACTTATATGCTCTCCAAATTGGAGGAAATAAAGAACCATACCATACCATATTAATGAGTTGATATACAATAATAATTAATATACCATTTTGCTTCACTCAAAGATGTAATTCACTGATAAATCATGCCAATTACAAGGGTTCTGATCACACCCCTCTTTCCCTGGGCAAAGAAAAGTATTTTTTAGATTTAGGAACTCCATGTTCAGAGGATAATAAATACAGTACAAAATGAATACAAAATAGATAAAAATGTGAATATCCATTACCTTTAAGATCTCTGTGTAGTATATGATTGTCATGCAAGACAGCTAGACCCCTGAGTACTTGACGTATATACCTGACTGTAACAGCCTCTGAGAATGCTCCATACCTATCAAGCAGATATGCTATACTGCCCCCTGAAACGTAACAACACAGGGTGAGTCCAGGAATAGAGATCCATGAGACAGAGGAATGATTTTATTTTATATTGTTTGGACCTTCTCACTTCAAATCGGCTTGTAATAAAAGAGACTATCAGAGAAAATCTCTGTTAGTAGGCCTATAAGTTATCTTTCAATAGTTTTTGAATAAAATGTTTTCAGTGAAAAATTTTCTTAATAGGAATTGGAAAATATATTCCATCTAAGTGTACATTCAATCTTATTCACTAAAACGTATTAGTCATAAGGCACATTTGGAGAATATTTCAGAATAATGTCAAATGCTTCCTGCAGTCGACTCACAACACCCTAAGCTTCCTGTTTTGACATACCTGGCATCCATTCCACAAACATATTGAAATGACAGCTCTGTTTAGTGGCCCCCATGATGCGTACAATGTTCGGGTGGCTCAGCTTGACCATCATGTGGATCTCAGTTTCTATTGCATCTATGACCTTCTGCTGCTCCGAAGCTGAGTTGCGGCAGAATGAAATCTGAAACGAGAAGAGGGTTAACATGATATAATCTATTGTTTATGAACACACTTATCTAAGTATTAACAATCTTAAGTATTTATTTAGCCCATATTTCCACTTTATTTTCATAGAATTTCTTTCTACAATCAATGCTATTCTTTCGCACCAAGGCTGTATTTTGTGAATTTTTGTTATACAATAAATCTTTACTGCAACAGAACTGAACAGTTGAAGACTTAATATATTATGAAGAAAATCCCAAATAAATATTGTACTACACAAGTGCTAAGATTAGGAGTCCATAGATTTAAATACAAGTGTGGAATAAAACACTAAGCATGAAGAATGGGCAGACCTATACTTGCTCACCTGTTTAACAGCCATTAAAACACCGGTTTTGATGTCTCTGGCCTGGTAACATGTACTAAAGGCCCCTGTACCTAATACAGGTCCCCTAACCCAGTGTTCATCCTCTACATAGCGATCTCGTAAAGAACCATCCTAGAACCAAGATGCATATGTATTTTATTGTCCCATGCAAATCTGTACATATACTGTAGATACTTCATTACTGTTGTCTATTATAGCTTTTATAGCATGTGGTAAATTATATGCCTGCCTTTTAATGTATCATTGATATCTTTTCTTCAAAGTGAAACTGCAACCTTCGCTTCCTGTATTGTCTAATACCTTTGTATGTTAGAAACGGACAGGATAAATGGATTTAGGAAACTATTTTTAACAGGAACACAGAATGAACATGTACAAGGATAATTTCAAACTCTGAGCCAGTTGGCAAGCCATACTTCATAACCGGAAGTCAGCAAAAGTTTCTGCCGGTAATTGAGCCACTGAAATGTGGTAAAAAGTAAGTTAATTGTTTAATTTTTGTCATACCTCATTTTGAATGATAACAGGAGTCTCCTCATTATCTGTTAGACCTGGTACATTAGGTAAGGGAGTTTGGTGTAGAGAGGACTCTAATGCCTTCACAAGAGCTAGGTCCTCCTCTGCCTGCATCTCTTCCTTACATGGACACATCTCTTCTGATAACTCAGCATGATCAGTTAAACCTTTAAACATGAAATATTCATGTTTTCATATATTATGTGTGGACAAAATTGATAAAAGGACAGTGCAATTCATTAGACTACATATGTGGACTACAGTGTCAACAGACAATCAATGGACTATATATTTGACGTAATAATTTATTATTTAATGTTATATTAAGTGTTACACTGACTGTATCGCCTGTGCATCATACACAGTGGACAATATATTCAAAAGACTACACTGACAACATCATAGGCTAATCTTATAAAATGTACTCTAATTGAAAAATGAACTAATACTCAATACAGAAAAGTAGCTTACCAGGTGGATTAACAACAGATGATCTTTTCCTGGGAGATCTCGCAATTTCTGACTTGAAAGAGACTAGTCTGTCTTCAGGAGTACAGGGAGACATGGTTAGGTCAGATAAATCCTCTGTAATATCACCTCTAACAGCCTGACCTCTTTCTGGAGTTGTAAACCCACATGCCTCACAAGTGGGGTCACCATGTTGTAACCCAGGGGCTGTGTTATTACTATGACAACAATTATGACCATGGGTTTGACAGCAACCTGTTTCAGTATCTATTACACATATGTCCATATAGTGTTTTTTATCCAGTTTAGAAGTGTCAGCTTTGGGGTCCTTATTTTCATGCTTGTCTATGGGACTAATCCATTGACCCGATGGAGGAGGTTTAGTTCGGGGGGTGTTATGGGGAACTACCACAGGGGCATGGTGTGGGGTAGATGGTGGAGTTATGGGACCTGAGGAACTTAATGGTACAATAGATGAACTTGAGCTGCTAGCTGGAGAATTTGTTGGAGCTCTGTTGGGAGAGGATTTCTGCCTTGGGGAATTAGGAGGTGCATACAAAACTTGAACTGTTTCAGCATTTGTTATAGAATCACTATGTTCTGACTGAGCAGGGCTGTCAGCATTTGTTTCAATAATAAGTTCATTCGGGGTCGCTTTCTCATCTGTATTAGATTCACCTACAGTAACTCCCCCTATGGTTGTTTGAGTTGAGTCACTACATGAGTCCCGATCAAAAGAAAAATATGAAGCTTGACAATCATCATGTGATAATAACCTACGACGAAGCCTCTGTCGTAAACTTGGATGCAGATCGTCAAGCATACGTAGTAACTGACTGAGCACACTGGGAAATGAAACACTCATCCTACCAGCGATTATTACGACCCTTCGAGCCAATTTTCCGATTCTAGTGTGTACATGGTCCACTGCATTGACAGAGAATCTCAACACTGATGTTAACAAATCAGAGTTCTCAGGAGGATTATCTTGATAGGAATCCATTTGCTTTAGGGTAAATGCCTCAGGATAGTCCTCCAATAAACGATCCAGCATACATATCCGCCCGAGGAGCCACTGCCATGAAACGGCCAGTCTGTCATACTCTTGAAGGATACATTCTGTCACATATTTCACGCTGCCTAGCTCAGCATGACCTAAAAAAACAAGTATGATTTTTTTTAACGACAAACTGATTTTAAACACTTGACATATATCACATTGATGATTGATTAAATAAATTACTTGGCTATTAGCAACAATTTACCTTCATTCTTATCGTAAGTGTTTTTTTGACATTCTTAAAACAGTATAAGAAATTAACGAGGAATGTATTTAGTATGCAGTCCATAATTTAAATTTTATGAAAATGGAAGAAACCAAAGCAGTTCATTCATATTCAGAGTGCAAAATTCATGAAAATAATGTCGCTTAAATTACAGGTAGAGGTTTATCAGATAAAATGCCAAGTGCAAATATTTATACTTTTTGAAGTCCTTCAGAGTTGACATTGTACCACAAGGTGCCTTAAAATCCAGCTACATCCAGATCAACAATCAGAAAGTTAATTTGTTTCCTCACAAAAAGTTACTCTACATACAAAATATTTGTCACGTGGGATAGACTTTTTATTTGTCCATAATGAAAGGGGTTTAACTTGTCTTTTGAAGGAGGGGTTATTCATACAGATTTAGAATGTTAATTTCATATATTTCATTGTCATGCAACACTATTTCATTTAAAATCAAGCTCAAAATTTGACCCCTTTACAATATAAGCTTGGCAATATAGAGCTCTGAAATCTCATTGAATGCTTGCATAAAATTTCCTGTACAAATACAATATAAAAATAATGATTTCAAGAAATATTTATGAGATTTTATGAATGTACAGTGAATCTTCATTACCAATGTATGCTGCAGGTTATACTCCTTTCCAAATTGTACAATTATGCACTTACCAATTGTAGGAAGTTCTCTACCAACGGCCAGTTCCCCTTGGTTGCCTTTAGCTAATTCTGCTAGAGTTGACATGGATAACTGAGCTGTGCGCCTGTTAACAACAAACATGTGTTCTTTGCAATTTTCTACAATTCTAATCCATTGTTTATATACAAATCCTGTTCTGCATGATTGAGGTCTAACATTCTCTTCGAACACATTTCATAGTTTAAACACTTTCGACGTAGCAGTTTTAGCTAGCAAATCAACTGCAACAATTTAATGCCATATGCATATTTACTCTTCATCGACTAAAATTCAAGAAACAATTAAACAAAGAAAATTCGATGGTATTCAATAAAAAAAAACTGATTACAATATAGCCCCCAAATGGTGCTATAGAACTATTATTTGTCATGATGCTTGTGAAAAACAAACCGCCTGAATTTCAAAATAAATTACAATATTGTGTCATTAATTTGAACTCCTAGTATGCTACATTAGATATTCCAATGAATATTTTCCAATTGCAGTCTGTGCATTGAATTAATTATTTCATGCATAACTGATTCATTAATGCCTATTTTGAATTATGACTTACTGCAAAAAGCTTTGTTTTTTCATAAACATTCTGAAGCTTTTTAAGACCTTTATCCATAAAAATTTAACAGCATACCACAGAACACACCAAGTTCAGAGTCAAAATCAAAGTCTAGATAAATAGGTTGTACATTAACTACTACAGTAAAACATAACTATATCTGCAGATCTGAACACCTCTGTAATCAAAAACATCTCCCAATGTGGACACTTTTTCTTGGTCCAAATTTTTTTCCCTTTCATTCACATATTAAGAAACCTTGAAATATGAACACCTTCTAATGCAAACACTTTTGACTAGCCCCAATGGCATTCGGAACAGACAGGTTTCAATGTATAACTGTATTTTTTAACAAGCAGTTATTGTACTTATTATTGAAATATTTTTGCACAATTAATCTTTTTAATTTTGATCAAATCTGTTGGTTTAATGATCCAATCAAAATGTGCACAGACTATTCCTTATCTACCTGGTATGAGATTTATACATGCAAACACACCTTAAAGATAAGGCCTCAATATCATAAAGTACATGTATTTGACACATAAGTTTTTAAAGGGTTTTCGAAAATGTGCTACTTGTACTTGAGATTAGGAAATAAGGTATAAAACTGCAAAATGTTATTAATAAAAGTAAAATAGATTTTAGGGACCCCAGTGACATTCTCCTCTCCCCAGATAACATCCTCCTTTAACAAAAGCACTAAGAATCAAATCCCTTCTATTATGAATAAGACACTTACCTGTTTCCATCTCCACATTTAATGAGAATGGTGTGAACAACAGGTGTGATCAGCTCCCTTAAGTGCTCCAGGTCATCTTGTGACTTGCATGATGTGAACAGCAGCAGTGTTCGCAATGTTCTCTGCAAGGAATTTAGGGTTCAGTTACCAACAATTGGTCCGGATTCATACATTTTGATGCTGTACAAATGATTCTATATATTTGTACAACCTAAAGTGTTCTGGCAGATGTGATCTACTACTTATTCCACAATTAATAGTAGATTGGTTTACAGTTTTCGGTGACTAGGCAACAGTATTGTTACCCTCACTATAGAAGTCATTAATGAATATCTAATCAAATACAACAGATATGGAACTTATGTCATTATATTTCCAAGCTTACTAACACCACAAAATCGCATATTTGCTGAATGACATTTTGACTTACCAGTGCTGCGACATAGACTCTATAAACAGGGTCTCCACAGGTCATCACCAGGACCTGACAGACGGTTCTCAGTGTTCCCTCCACCCTGCCTTCCTCCAAGCTACCACCCGTCTCATGGTGCATAAATAAGTGCCTCACATCCTGTATTAAATGCTCTAGCGCAGTCTCTCTTATTGCCCAGTTGCGGGAGAATATACACGATACAAGGTTTTCTCCGAGAAACTGAAATGAAGTTGGGGAAATATAAAGAAATGATTTAAAGAAATAAAGAAATGGAGGAATTAAACTTTTTAGTTATGATTAAACATTCCTTTTTACAAAAAAATTAAAGGCATTCATTTTTCAAAAAAATGTCCATGCCTACTGCACACTAAAATAAACAGTTGTCACAGAACAAAACTGGCCATTTCAGAAATGAAATTTCTAGACATATATAAAGCTAAGACAATCTGAGAATGAAAAATATTTTGAGACTTTACTACTGTTATTCGGGAGTTTTCATATTATCCATACTTACGGGAATCCATTCTTGAGCAATGGTCTGATGCTCGTCGGGGACAGGTTCAGCATATGGTAGACGTGTCTCTGAGGGGGAGGGGGATGAGGCCTGGGTGTTAGGGGGGACTTCTGTTGGGGGAACAGGATCTGAGAGACTCCTTTGTCTTTCTACTGGTGTAGTGCTACATGTAACAATAGAATAGAATCAGGTTAAAAATCTTTCTGAGAGTTATACCTTGTTTGATTTTGATATCATTGTTATATTTTATGATTCAATTGATTGAATTTTTCGTTTGACTAGATTACCAGTAAGAGATATCATGCAATTTTCTCATTAGTTATTTTCTACCATGACACATTTCTCTTGCAAAGGTGTTCCACTTACAGAAGCAATTCATTTTATGGATATTATTGCAGGTTCAACCCCATAGCCCTTGTCTTTAGATGTTAATCGTTTAATTATCACGTTAACTCACCTGTCTTGGTCCCAGCGCATCCTACAGAGTGGACATATTAGTTGTTCCCATTGTCTCCTACACTCCTCAAACCCTACATGAACAAGAAAACAATATTTTGATTTTCAAAACATAAAAAAAACATGCAGACATGACAAATATTGGAGAATACGAGAATTGTACTGCATTACAAGAGACCCTGAATTTACGTATCGTATATTGTTTATTTTATGCACGTTTAGTGTGCCATGGAAATGAGGCATTTATCAATGCAAATAGTATTCATCAGTGCAGTTCACTTGCGAAACGTAAGTTCTAAGTAAGACACATTTACTCGTATATAGATATACCGTATTATTAAAACTTACATATAGATATGCAATGTTGATGTAGTTGGTTCTGGCATCCATGTTCACATTTCACCAAACTCTCCCCTTCTAACATATCATTGAGGCATATTGGACACTGCTCCTCAACATCTTTCACACTACAAGTAGGAAACATTTACTGCATAGTAAGACTTTACTATCTCAATAAAGTCATTCTGATTTTCTGATTTTACCAGTTACTGCACAACTTTGTTAATGCTGAGCATTTGTATCAACGAACAAAAACATCAATGGCTATTGGCGCTATTTGGGGTATATGTGCTATTTACTATTTGGGTATTTGCTATGTCGTAATTCTGCAAGTTTTTACAAAACATAAACCGGTTTCTGCTTAAGGCATCCACGAAAAAGAAGTCAAAATATTTCGTTTAATCTGTGGTCCATATTGGAACAGTCATAAACTTTACAATTTGGTCGCAATTCATTGTTTGTTAAAAAGGAGACAATGGTTAAATAGTAAGTTACTAAGCTAAATCCTGGATAACACAGCTAGGGAAGTGGAAATATCAATTCTCACTTAACAATGATTAAATAATACCTGGTGTCTGCAGCAGCACTCGAGTCCGGTGTATCACAAGATTGCACCAGCTTATCTTTGGCAATCCTCTTCTGTTTCTTTGTTTTCTGTTGGCGACGTTTTTGATGGAAGTTTGTGAATAATGTCTCAACCTATGAATAGAATTTAAATTACACACTTCACAGACATATAATTTTTACTGAAAAGCTTGAGAAATAAAGTTTTTTATATTTTAGAAATTTTGACATTGAAAAATATATTTCAAGCAAGAAATAATGACAATGCCTTTTGGAAATTGAAAGCCAAGTTGAACTAAATGCAGAAATCAATAGAAATAATTTTTTAATCCATCTGCAAATCAATAGATTCCAGAGCTTAACTGACACAGAAATGGCATTCTATTAATTTACCTCATAATTTTTCAGCTTCACTCTCCAAAGACAGGGATCTGATTCTTCTATTTGGAAGACACGTAACATGACAAACAGCACATGAACACAATGGGCCTTTCCACAGCTACATGTCTGAAATGCAAAACCAATGTTTATTTATAGACAAAAACATGCAAGATGGCACAATCTAAGACAAGACAGTAGAATAAAAATTTATTCGTAATCACATATTTTGCATTACACGGTTTCAAGTAAAATTATAGAGAGTAGAAGGGGAATCAGTAAATACAGAATGGTACAATTATGTTACCAGAGTATATGGCAGAGAAAACAGAGAAAACCTGTCTTGATAAACATAGTATGTATAGTTTAGTACTATGCCTTGACAAGAACCTGACCAACAGTCATCACTGAAATTATAGCACTGCAACTAAACTTTATACATTAGTTCAAACGATGACCATCTCTACTGTCTCCCATTGGTTCATTCCTCTATTTTGACTTCACGTATGAAGTGTTTAAGTCAATAAATATCATAAATTGATTAATAATCTACTCACCTGTTCTCCGATAATAACCCTGAATTTATGATCGGGAGAATCTCCACCAATCAAAAAGGAGTTTGGTCCCATCTGTTGTAGGAGGTATAGACGAGCTTTACGAACTTTCTCCACACGTTTCTGGATGGCATCAGGGGTCATGGATGTGGCATCGAGGACACTGTTGGGGGAGGGGGTTCTCCTGCCTGAGGGAGATGGGGGTTTAGTGTTGAACTAAAACAAATTTTATTTATTACTTTTACTGCCATACTGTATGACATACTGTATGATAACATGTAACACAACTACTCAATGAAAGATTTTCTTAATACATAAACAGTACAATGTAAAACTGGAATTTGAGTAATATATGCATAAAATGGCTTGTTAATCCCTCATATTGACTGTAGGATCATGTTTAAGTGAGCAACGCCATCTTTAGGATTCTGCACAAAATTAAAACCTCAAAATTCAAATCAAAATATAATTTAATATCATTGATATTAAATTATCATATTAAACCAATACATTGTACATTGATGAAGAATTCTCACACAAAGAAAAGCTAATAAATACACATTACATAGTGCATGTTACATACATGTATCTATTAGAACTCACAGAATTTGAAGGTGATAATTTCACTGTGCGGGGTGGGATGACAGGAGACAGTGGTCTGTTGACAACCTGACGAGTGAAAGCTGATTCATTTTTCTGACTGCTAAGTCGACCAATCAGAGAGCTGGTTGAGTTGTTACCTCCACTTGCACGAGCCACCTGAAAATGATAAATATAACTTGTAAATCAAATTTCTAATATAAAATGACCCTAGGCCTTAATTCAGTCGGCTCACATTGTTAAAATGTGATATTTCCAACAAGAAAAAGATTTCGCCAAAACGAGGCAAAATTTTGGAGCTAGAACTCGTGGTGTAAATTACCAGCATAGACTTAAACAACATGAATTTCAACATTAGTTTCATTTTGAATGAACAGACCGAGGTTTGGTTGGGTAAATGTCCTAAATAGTTAAGCTCGGTCAACATAATACTACACAATGTGACACTAGGTAATACAAGGAGAGATCAGCATATTTGTCAATTTGTGCTATATTCCCTTTTGTATTTGTTCCATTCCATTTCAATTAAAATTTGGCACATACATGCAATGTCGAATTTTGCATTCAAGCCCATAATGGCAAAAAATTATAGTTGTCATATTTCGAAATTATTTAATGAGTCTCTATGAGTGCTTTTCCTCAGAATCCTCAGAAAATAGCCAAAATCCAACATTTGACTGTACGAAATCTGTTGCGATACTTTCCATCCTCCTTTGTAAGATTAAAAGGTCAAGGTCATCAAACTAAATAACAAACAGTGTTATCTGAAGTTCTCAAAGTTCCAGACTACAAATCAGTATTTTTGGTTGAAAGTCAGGAGATACATTTCTCTAAATGCTCTATACATATTAGCAATAGACTATGAATTAAACGTTTGCATCAGTTTTGAGATATGAGAGCTAGCTCTGAAACTGAAAAAGGTCAAATTTCGATATTTTATAAGGTCAAATTTTCAACTTGTGTCAAATTAAAATATAAATATTTAACAAATATATTTTTAAACATCATCTAGAAGTTTCCGCCAGTTCATATATGAGCTTTAATGTTTGAGATTTGACATTATGAATTTAATTTAGGACACCAATTTTACTATTTTGTAAGTTTCATTGTAATTTATTTTAATTCAATACTTCAATTCCAGTTTGGTATGAAACGGGATACCAGGGATTTCACTAGAATTTCTCACAACTGGCTAAATAAATTAAAACAACAGGCAAAATTAGTGGAAATCATAAATTTAACATGGAAAAGTCCCTAAAAACAACAGGCGATTTTGTGAAAACTGATGAAAATCGCGCGTTGCCTGCTGCTAATGAAACCCCTGAGTTACCATATACGAGGGGTGATCAGGAATTTCTGGACCGTTGGCTCTTTTTCCCATTTTTCATGATTTCTTAGAGATTTTTTCACACAATATAACCCAAATATATAGGATCACACCATGAATATTTCATTGTTCTATGACATCATTATCCTATTATTTTTGTTACCATGGTAACTGGTGACGCAACAAGGTGGAGCTCAGAAAAATACCACATTTGAAAAATCTACAGTAATTTTATATGATGTTAAGACACTGTATTCATTGCTGAATATGTGACATACTGTATAGGTTGTATTATTTCATTAAGTATAGTCATTAATGTTCTTAGTAACTATTATTCTTCCATCAATTCTAGTCCTTCAAAGAAGTTACCAGCACTTTGATAGCATTTGCTATACCTTTTCACCCAGTCCTGAAAGACTTGATACAGACCGTCTTTGCCTACTTTGTAACATTGGTGTGTGAATTCCTTCATGATCTCATTAATGTCCTCAAAGTAGATCATAATTTGTTCTTCACTGTTGGGAAAAGATAGAAATCACACCCAGCTAATTCTGGGGGATACGGTGCGTGTGGTACACGGCCACAACCGATGGAAACAATCATTTTGTAGAGAAAGACAGTCTGTATCACGCCTTTCAGGGCTTGGTGAAAAGGCATAACAAATGCGTACAAAATGCTAGTAACTACATGTAGTTTGAAGGATTAGAATTGATGGAAGAATAATGACAGTTACTATGAACATTAATGAATATACTTCATTATATGATACACCCTATTACAGTATGTCTATTCAGCGATGAATACAGTGTCCAAACATCATATAAAACTACTGTTGATTTTTCAAATTTGTTATTTTTTCTGAGCTCCACCTTGTCATGTCACCGGTTACCATGGTAACAAAAATAAAAGGATAATGATGACATAGAACGGTGAAATCTTCATGGTGGGATCCTAAATATTTGGGTTATATTGTGTGAAAAAATCATCAAGAAAGGATAGAAAATGGCAAAGATAGAGCCAACGGTCCAGAAATTCCTGATCACCTCTCGTTAAGTTGCAGACTTTATTAATAAAAATGCAAAAGCAGCCTGGCAAGATTTTTCATGAATTCAGATGATGTTGTACAATGGCTGGTAAAAGGAGACAATTATATACGTGGACAGACATTTTGCTTCAAATGTTTAAAGCCATTTAAGCCAACTACAAACAATTCTTAGATGAGCTGTACATATGAGTTTTGTCTTTGAGACTGCTGTCAATATTGCTTGGTTGGATAAAAAATTAACAAATAAACAAATAAGTTCAATAATTGTGATTTCCTATGCCAAAATTACAAGATTGGATATTTAATGCAAAAATAGAAACAAAAAATGAATATTATGCTGGAAAATCTGATCTTTGAAATTTTTTCTGCCAAATCCTAGTGAAAGTGAAAGAGGATCTAGGAATATCATTTTTCACAAACAAAACTATCTAGTACATTTCAAACAAGATGCTTTATCTGACTCTGATAGGCAGGTAATATGATGTCAGCCTGAGCTAGGTAGCAATTTGACTTGTGTGTTTAATGATTTGTAATATTAATCAATATCAAATCAAGACAAGAAAATAACCTCTAAAATACAAAATATATAAACAAAACATCTTATCCCTTTTTATCAACTACTGGCTTTTATAGAAATGAAACCAAAGCCAACAAATGTTGTTATTTAGTTATTGGGAGAAGAAAAAATTCAATCATATATTTATTGAAATACAGATATAATACACATTTACCAGGTCAACATTATACAAGCATTTTTCAGGTGACCCAAGATGTAAATTCTTGATTTACAAGGTTTCAGTTGCTCAAAACTTCAAGTCGAAAGATAAAAGTATATGTATAGTAAATACATCTAATGTACACTGTATATAAATTAGAAAATAAACTCACCAGAGGTCCCGAGCGCCTCCTTTCACCACCATCTTTATTTTGTTTCAAACGTTCTCGGATGTGAGAATCATCCAAACGTCCTGATTTCTTCCTTCTAACTGGAATCATTCTGAAAAAAAAGTTGGAATCATTATTTGTAAAATGTCTTTGAATGTAGAAGATGCTACAAAAGGAAAAGTACTAAAGATCTAATATTTTGTTAAATTATGTAGCATGTACATTTACCTTTTCCTTTTGAGCTGCTAATTCCAATATCTTTCTTAATGCGTAATAATTTTGCCATACAAAAATCCAAAGATTGTTACTGTAGATAGCAGAAATTAGTAATTAATTAAAAATTTTGATTCAATCTATATGTTACGAAGCTCTTTATAATCCAACCTCAAAATGAAACAATCTCAAAAATTCTTGCGACATAACAAGTATTATCATCCCGGATTTGTAGTAAAATGTCAGCTGGCCCTAAAACTAAGCTACTGTGCTGTGTATTGATCTGTAGGTTTTTATGTATATACTGTACTACCACAGAACATGCTGTATTGATTTTGTATTGTTATTATGTGATCAAGGAAAAGCCTATTCATAAAAGATGAATGTATACAATACCCTGGTAAAGCGTTATGAATCACACATGGTGAGTGAGAGTGGTTAACTCAGTGAGTGACACATCAGAGGGGGTGGGGTTAAGGATATCAAGGGGTGAGACATAAGAGGTGGGGCAAAAATAATTAAGGCATGAGACATCAGGGGGTGGGCTCAAGACGAGAAGAGGTGAGACATCTGATCAATGAGGGGTGATACATGGGAGAGCATGGATTATTCAGGGTTCACTTTGCAAAAACTGACAAATATCTTGCAATGAGACTATGCTTAGAAATCTCTCTCTCCCAAGTAAGTTAACAGAGAATAGTTGGGGGGGGGGGGTGCAGCTTGGTAAGAATAGTTATTACAGGTGTCTGTTACAAATGTGTGTGTTATTACATCTTTTGTCATCAGATTTGGTTCATCATAATTTCCGAAAAAGTAAACCCTATCTCGATATTCGGAGCTAAAACTGTTCACATAATGGTAGCTCTGCTATAACACAGCGTCAGATACAATTTTAAGATGTTCACTTCAAAAAGTTCTGCTCAAATACACTGGATACTAGAAACATATGTCATCTAAACAGCAGGTTTGAATTGCAGAACTGCCTGAGAAGTTCCAAATGTATCAAAAGCATCATTAAACACATCAATTTGCACAGCTTTAAAAAACATGGACTATCAACATACAGTAATGACACCAGGGGCGGATTTGGGAACCAACAAGGGGGGAGGGCCCAATTTCTGGTCAGAAAAAAATGTGGGCCCCAAAAACGGGCCTATTTTAAATTTTGAGGCCCATTTTCTTCAAAATTTGGCCTGAAATTAAAAAATAAGGCCTTAAAAGGCCCAGTAATGATCATACCCACTTTTTGAGGCCTTTAATGGCTTTATAGGCCTTTTATTTTTCTGGGCCTACCCAAGAGGGGGGGGGGGGCGGCCCCCAAGCTCCCCCCCAGTGGACACTAATGTGATTCTGAATCAAAATATTTCTTAAATTTGAGGCATACACTGTTGCTCATAAATATGGAATATTTTATAGATACGAACTGTTTGATGGAATTTCTACAAAATGATAACATTTTGATGAAAATTTGTAATGTGTTCTCATTCCCTCATCAGTTTTGCATATAAAACTGATTGGTATGAAAAGTTACAACATTTATGGTTGATTAAACTTGTATTCACTCAGGTGACCCCATGACCTCATGATAATGGTAAATTGAAAGAGGTGTCCAAATCTTAGTTGTAACCATTGTGCACATTTTATAAAACTTTAATTTAGAGTTGTAAGTCAGTTTTTAGAAGGCATGCCCCATAAAATAAGCGAAAAAGAGCATGGCCGGTCATAGGGATGGCGCTCTCTGGCATGAAACAAACTGCCATTGCCAGGACCCTAGGGGTGTGTCAGGAACAGTCTCTAAAATTCTGCAGTGGTACCAAAGGCACTGGAATGTGACTCCAGGTCACAGAAATAGTAGCCCTAGAGAGAATAATGTAAGAAAAGACCACCATCTGCTGCATTTATGTCATCAAAATCGCTTTAAGTCAACCAGTAGTCTACGAGATGAATGACTGTCTCACCTCAAAACCTGTGTTCCAGAGCTATAGACAACCAGTGATTTTTTTAGAACAGATGCAAGGCCATAAGACCTGTACAGAAACCACAGCTGACTGATCATACCAAAGAAAGGTGCCTTCAATGGGCAGGAAAGCACTAAAACGTTGGACCTAATCTTTTTTGTCATATGACAGCATGTGAAGAAATAAGATATATCCTCCACAAAGTTGATAATTGTGTTCGTTTCTGTCGTAGACCAGGGGAAAGAGATAATAAGGACACTTACTAATGTGGCAGTCCACGAAGGCGACCCTATTTATGTTTGGAGCAGTATTACAGAGGTTATATGGAGCAGTACTACAGAAGTTGCACCCCCTTGGTGATTCCCAAACATAATTTCAGAGGAAATTGACCTTTTGCACCTCCATCAAGTACCACACGTAAACAGAGTGTTTTGGGGCAACATACATCTGCAGAATGATCATGCTGTTGCATATGCTAGTGGCATCATGTTGGATTACATCAGGGCAGGCAATGTGGACCAGCTACCATGGGCACAAAGTCAGCCAATCAGGCTAATGCAGAGCAAATGCGGGCCGACCTTGGTAATGAGATTCGTGACTTGGACCCCAACCTCAAAATTTAGACACGTTACGCACTGCTCAGATTGAGGAATGGGGCCTTATTTCACTTAGAGAGGTCAGATGTTTCATTCAATGCTGGTCCCGTAGGGTTGATGCTCTGATTGCAGCACAAAGAGGACATAACACATATTAGTGCTATTATTGGATAGAGGACACTTCAATCTTCATGACCAGATGTTTATTTTGTTTGATCTGTTTTACATGACGATTTGGATCGGGGTGTTTTGAAAATGCAAAAAATCTTAGCTTACCCCTGTTTAAATAACAGTAATTTTCTAAATTTAAATGTACATATTTTTTCTCTAAAAATGTTGATTTGTAGATGAAATATGTGGTTATGATTTGCCTAGAAAATAATTGTCTGAACCGACTCCAAATAAATGTTCTCTAACTCCAAAATTTGAATTCTGAGCTGCCAAATCTAATATTCCATATTTATGAGCAACAGTGTATGTTAGATTATACCAAAGACTTACCTTTTTGATTTGTTTTGTTTTTGCAGAGTTTGATGTTCCGATGTAGCTCCTTCACTTTCCTCCATTCCATTATGTCTACTGAATGTTTCAATCAAATTCTGAACACTCTTGCGCTTTTCCTTTTTATCTTCAGCCTCATCTTCATCTTCATCAGAAGGAGGCTTTACACGTAACTTCACCTCCGGGTGTTTTACTTCAGCCATATCCATTGCTTGTACGATGTAATTACGTATTATATCCTTTTTTGGCCTTAGAAGACTATGTTTTGGAGACTATAACTAGATCCATATTATTGAACAAAACTTTATGTCTGATTGTATGTATCTCCTTCATTGGCCTTTTGTATTTTTTGTGTTTTACATATATCCTTATCATGTGGAAGATGGTAGCTGTATTTAAAGAACACCAGATTTATGAGCATTGTGTTCCTTCTAAGATTGTATTTATCCTTTTAAATGACATGCTCCTGAAATAACAAATATTAAGATTGCGAAAAATGCTTCGAAAAACTAGTTGAAAACATGTTAATTGTTATAATATTCTACATGAAAGCTATGGCATTGGAACACCTTTGAGACCACAAAAATCTGTTTTTTTTACTTCAAAAGTGTTCACTAACAGTACGATGGTCCATTTACACAATACTCTAAGAGCGAGGAGGAAAATTCTTAATAAATGGAGTATAGTTGGTTTGGCAGCATTTTCAGTTAGAGGGAAGTCTTGGATGAAAATTCTATCTAGGTGATAGCTTCACAGAGTGGTACATAATTCTTTTTTTTCAGGGGTTAGCCCCCCACCCCCCAAAAACACCCCACCCCCAGAAAATAATTTTTTCATCTTCAATAATTTTAGATATCTTGATCTTTTTAAGTTACATACATAGACATTATATATATAAATCATTTGCAAAATAAATAATGCCAATTACTCCTACAGAATTTGAAAAATAGTACAAAGTATGTACCCCAGGGGGCAAATTCGTGACCCATTTTCTTACTATTTAGAGCCTCACTTTTCAATCAGACACTGGAAGACATTGAAAAATTTCATGTGAAGTGCCCAGTAGCAGGGCTATAAACCCTGAAAGGTTCAAACTAATTGAATGAGTAGGAGCCGAGAAAAAAATTGTTGATTTTTTGAAAAATTTGACATTTTTGAGAGGGGTGATTTTGTGTATGACTATAGCTGATGCCTATGGTTTCCAGATATATCCCACTTTGATGATAAATATGGTTTTGAAGTATGGAACTAAGATGTAAAAAATAAATAAAATGGGTTTTAAGGAAGTTTAATGTATAAACAAGTTCAAAATTCAAAGAATTGTACAATATCAGGTCTGAATTTACAAATTTTAGGTAAGACCTTGGATGAGCCTTAGATTTTTTACATCTGTCCCCCTTTGATGATATTTATAGCTTTGTAATATGGAACTAAGATGTACAAAATAATTTAGATGGTTTTTAAGAAGGTTTAAGGATTTTAGCAAGTTCAAAATTTGAAGAATTGTACAATATCAGGTCTGAATTTACGAATTTCAGGTAAGACCTTTGGTGAGCCATATATTTTTCACATCTGTCCCTCTTTGATGATATTTATGGTTTTGTAGTGTGAAACTACAAGGGGTGATCAATAAGCAATGGACACTTTTTTACATAAATGCTTTTTATAGACCAATCTCTTTAATTTTTTCACCAGTGATACATCATTCAATTTTCTATCAACTCTGAAGATTTGGAGACAAAGCATGTCACATATTTTGATATATCTTTATTTCTGTGAAGGAGGTATAGGTACCCTGGGACCGACATAACGTCACACATTCTGAAGCTATTTAGCTCATTTAACGTGCAATACAGTTTAATGAAAGTTGAAAAAACGAACCATGATGGTTATAAATTCCACCATTTCGATACGCCATAATTGATTTTGAATATTTTGTCATCACTTTGTGGCATTCATGCCACCTTCATTTTACAGGGCCCTCTACATAAGTTCCATTTAGTGCTACACACTCCTCATTAACCCAAAATTGAAAGACAAGGCCGAATCTATTCTCATGACACGGTAGCAAGCTGCAGTTCCACAGCTGGTTTTATTTCATCAATGTCATAAAACCTGCATCCTTTCTCTACAGAAATAAGTAGAATTTGGCCAGATCTGGACTAAAGGCTGCATGGGCCAAGGGCTTCATGTTCAGGTCCAGAGATATTGTATCCTGCACAGTTTGAGATATTTGGGCAGGGGCATTGTTCACATGGAGTACGGTGTTACCTCCTCTCCTCGTCTAACCCCTTCTTCCTCAGTACATTCTCAAATCAACCTGCAAACCCTAACTATACGACACTGTGACATCACAATACAATAATCTTTTATGTGTTACCACAGGCAGCATGATATTCAAACAACACAACTCTTCTGGCATATCAAAAAGTTCTAACTGATATGCCAAATTGGCATTACTTCAGAATATGTGACATAAATGTCGGTCCCGGGGTACCTGTACCCCCTCCACGAAAATAAAGATGTATCAACACGTATTACATATCTTGTATTCAAATCTTCAGAGTTAATAGAAAATTGAATGATGTATCACTGGTGGAAAAATCAAAGAGATTGGTCCATAAAAAGCATCCGTGTAAAAAAGCGTCCATTACTTATTGATCACCCCTCGTAATATGTAAGAAATAACCTAGATGGTGTGCAAGAAGGTTTAAGGAATTTAAAGAGTCCAAAATTTGAAGAATTGTACAATATCAGGTCTGAATTTACGAATTTAAGGTATGACCTTGGATGACCCTTGTTTTTATATCTGTCCCTCTTTAATGATATTTATGCTTTTATAGTAACGAACTAAAATGTAAAATATAATTTAGATGAATTTTAAGAATGTTTAAGGACTTTAAGGATTTTAACAAGTTCAAAATTTGAAAAATTGTATAATATCCGGTCTGAATTTACGAATTTTAGGTAAGACCTTTGGTGAGCCATATATTGTTTACATTTGTCCCTCTTTGAAGATATGTATGGTATTGTAGTGTGGAACTAAGATGTAAAAAAACAATTAAGATGGATTTTAAGAAGGTTTAAGGATTTTCACATGTTCAAAATTTGAAAAATTGTATAATATATGGTCTGAATTTACGAATTTCAGGTAAGACCTTTGGTGAGCCATATATTGTTTACATTTGTCCCTCTTTGAAGATATGTATGGTTTTGTAGTGTAGAACTAAGATGTAAAAAAGATGTAAAAAAAACAATTAAGATGGATTTTAAGAAGGTTTAAGGATTTTCACATGTTCAAAATCTTGGCGCATTGTGCAATATTAATTCAGCAATAACACTACATTTCAAGTATAACCTTGGTTGGCTCTAAACATTTAGAAAGAATTGTTGACATGGGGTCCCAATTTATAATTTTTCATGGGGACTTCACTTGTAAGAAAAACATACTTTTTAAAATAAAAACCACTGTATTTATGCCCAGAAAGTTACTCATGGTGAAATATATGACCGTCTAAAACCTGAAATTCGTTAATGTCAGAAGATATGATATTGTACAATTTGTCAAGTTTTGAACAGGTTTAAAACCTTAAACCTCCTTAAAACCCATCTAAATTATGTTTTACATCTTAGTTTCATACTACAAAACCATATATGTTATCATAGAGAGATATATGTAAAAAAAGAATAAGGGCCATTCACAGTTATACCTAAAATTCAATTCAAGACCTGTTATTATACAATTCTTCAATTTTTTATATTTTTTCAACCTTAAGCTTCTTTAAAACCTGTCTAAATTTTGTTTAACATCTAAGTCCAACACTACTAAAGTATATATGTCATCAAAAAGGGATAGATGTAAAAAACATAAGGCTCACCTAAATACCCAATATTCATTAATATCAGCTCTGATATTGTACAATTCTTCAAAATTTGAACTTGTTTAAAACCTTAAACTTCTTTAAAACCTGTCTAAATTTTGTTTTACATCTTACTTCAACACTACTAAAGCATATATGACATCAAAAAGGGATAGATGTAAAAACATAATACCTAAAATTCATTAATATCAGCTCTGATATTGTACAATTTGTGAAAATTTGAACTTATTGAAAACCTTAAACTTCTTTAAAACCCATCTTGATTATGTTTTATATATTAGCTCCACACTACTAAATCATATATATCATCAAAAAAGGATAGATGTTAAAAATATAAGGGCCAAGCAAGGTTATACTTTAAATTCATTAATTTCAGATCTGATGTTGTACAATACGCCAAGATTTTGAACTTGTTTAAAATGTTAAGCTTCTTTAAAATCGATGTAAATTATGTTATACATATTTCCACACAACTAAACCAAATATATCATGAAAAGGGGATATGTGTTAAAATCATATGGGCTAACCAAGATTATACTTGAAATTCTTTAATTTCAGATCTGATATTGTACAATACGCCAAGATTTTGAAGTTGTTTAAAATGTTAAGCTTCTTTAAAATCAATGTAAATTATGTTATACATATTTCCACACAACTAAACCAAATCATGAAAAGGGGATAGGTGTTAAAATCATATGGGCTATTAAACAAGGTTATACCTGAAATTAATTCATTGCAGACCTGATATTGAACAATTCTTCAAATTAAAATCCTTAAACCTTCTTAAAATGCATCTAAATTATTTTTTACATCTTAGTTCCACACTACAAAACCATACATATCATCAAAGAGGGATAGGTGTAAAAAAATATAAGGTTCATCCAAGGTCTTACCTAAAATTTGCAAATTCAGACCTGATATTGTGCAATTCTTCAAATTTTGAACTTGTTAGAATCCTTAAAACTTCTTAAGATTCACCTAAACTATATTTTACATCTTAGTTCCATACCATAAAACTATAACTGTCATTAAAGAGGGACAGATGTAAAAAATAAGAGTCATCCAAGGTCATACGTATAATTCGAAAATTCAGACCTGATATTGTATAATTCTTTAAATTTTTGACTCATTAAAATCCCTTAACACTCTTCAAAACCATCTTAATCATTTTTAACATCTTAGTTACAAAACAATACATATCATCAAAGAGTGACAGATGTAAAACATAAGAGCCATCCAAGGTCTTACCTAAAATTTGTAAATTCAAACCTGATATTGTACAAATTTTCAAATTTGGAACTTGTTAAAATCCATAAATCTCTTAAAATTCATCTAAATTATATTTTACATCTTAGTTTCACACTATAAAACCATAAATATCATCAAAGAGGAACAGATGTAAAAAACAAAAAGGTCGTCCAAGGTCATACCTGAAATTCGAGAATTCAGACCTGATATTGTACAATTCTTCAAATTTTGGACTCATTGCAATCCCTAAACACTCTTCAAAACCATCTAAACCATTTTTTACATCTTAGTTCCACACTACAAAACAATACATATCATCAAAGAGTGACAGATGTAAAA